ACCAAGTCCTGACCCTTCTGGGCCAATTGCTATAGAAGTTGAGGATTGCATTCTATTGTTGGAGGTGGTCTGGCCATTGTCAGTTTGTATATTCAGTCTTGTAATGTATTGAGTTCCACATTAGTCTTTTGAAATTGAAATTGAGTTGTTGTTTTTCTTTCCCTAGATCTTTGGTCACTCCCACAGGTTGTCTGGGTGTGTTGGAGGTGTAGATAAAGTATCCGTGATTCACAGCTGACTCCAGAGTGAAATAGGAACCCACCTGTTCCTTGAGGAAGGTGAAGGGCAGACGTTCCTCGTCCGTCAGTGAATTCAGCTCTTTAATGTTCTTTTTCTGAACTATGAGGCAGAATTTCTTAGGTAGCCAGGCTGCTTCTGGAAAGATCAGGCAACTTTGTTCCAAAAACATATGATGTTTTTTCTCAGTAGTAGCTTTTCTTAAGTGTGAAGTTGATACATAAAAGGTCTCTGGAAAAAGTCAGAAGACTGCGTCAGCCCTAGAGGAGAAAAATGATCTTTTTTTTCTGTTGACATTTTGGGTACAACCGCCCTGTTTTGCCTGAGCAATGTCATCAAATGCTCAATCCTGGGTTGGCCCAGGAGCCAAGAATGTCCCTATCCTCAGAATTTCCCTCTCCCTCTGCCTCTGGCTCCTTCTTCCTCCCAGCCCTCCCAGGGAGACTTCTTTGAAGTCAGGGACTCTCTGGAACTGTGTCCCCATCCTGACTGTTGCCCACCACCAGCTGTCCTTGAGGTTCTTTCCAGGAGGCAGTCCTTTACCTGTCCCAGAGGAGGGGGCGGTCAAGCTGCCCCACCGGGGAGGAGTTTTCTACAGGCCAGGTGGGCAGTGAGAGAATAAGAACCACTTCTGCTGAGTAAAGCAAGGCTGAGAGTCACCTCCGGTTCTGATGCTTTTGTCTGGGACCACTCTGAGGACCTCACCTTCCAGGACCAGAACTTGCTGGTTCAGGTCTCGAATATTATACTTCTGAAAGGTTACGGATTTGACTTTGGGACCTGAAAAAACAGTACTAGAGATTATGAACAATTAACAAGCTGCAGTTCACCAGCCTCAAGTTCCCGCCTTGCCCAGTGGGCTTAGGTGAGACATATTCCTCTCATTAGTTTTTTATCCCACCCATCCATCCATTCATTGAAGAACTTCAGTGATTAACCCCTGCACCCTGGAGTCAGATTAAGTCAGGGTCCAATCCCTGTTCAGTCATTTACAAGCTGAACAACTTACTAAATTTCTCCAAATCTCATTTTGCCCACCAGTACAATGGCATTAATAAAAGCTATCTTACATAGGGTTCATGTGGGGAATAGGAGGGAGGCAATGAAAGTTCATTACTATTAGTAGTGGCGGTATTGGTAACATTCATTGAAGAGTCATCATTATTACAAGTAATAGTTGTATGGATACATCCAGCTGGAGGGAAAGTAATACATCATGAAAAAATAATACATCCATGAAAGTACTAATGATACAACATCATTATTATTAGTGGTAGTATTGATGACCCTCTTTTCTGCACCCTCTCCCTGGCGGGCCATGCCATCAGCAATGCCTGGGTGGCACAGATATCTGCCATGTTGGGCACCAGCGGGGCTAATGGTGAGGAAGATGAAAGGGTGAAGATGATGAGGTGAGGCAGAAAGGACCCAAGAACAGCAACTTTGTGTTGGGAGGGAATGGAGATGGCAAGACTTCTGTGCAAAATGCAGAGAGGTTGTGTCTGCCTTTGTGGAGCCTGAGTAGGCAGGACCAGCTGCAGGAGTGGCCAGGGATTTGCCTGACTCTGGGGGGATTTGGGCGTTCAGTCAGCTCAGCCCTGCTTGGGGGGTGGGCAAACCTAGACTGGGAACTTGTCCCTCTGCCACCTCTGATTGGCCAGGTGACCATCTATCAGTGAGTGAACTCAGGCTTTGCATGGGGGAGGGTACAAGCCCATATACAGAACTGATGATTGAGTCTATCTAGAACAAGAGATATAAGATGTGATAATGTGATAGATGACCTTGTAGATTAGCAATTGTACTATATAATTATATACAGGCACACACATAGTCTGGCTTCCTACTCACTCCATAAACATGATGCCTTTAGCTGAGACCCATGCTTTGCACTTTCTTCCTGTCACCTAGGGTCAACCTCCTTGTCGTCCTGTAATCCTAACTCATGTGCCACCTCCTCCCTGAAGCCCTCCCTCAGAGTCTTAATGGGAGAGACATTTTCCTCTCAGAGCTGCCCAGCCCCAGCCCTTGGGGAAGAGCAGCTGTATGTCAATACCTCGTACTGCAGGTGTTGCCTGCTTGTGTAGGATTAATTTCTGATTCATTCTATGTTGTTCATGGGGCCCAGGGTGGGGCTTTCAGTAACCAGCAATGGGTCAGAGTTCACTGGATTTGCCTCTCTGGATCTGGAGGAAGCTATCTGTATGCTTCTGAGGTCTCTTCTGACCCCAGCCATCTATGACTTTTGTTGCGGAATAAAACAATGAGGGTTAAAACTAACTGAAGATACATTTACTTGTATCTCCAAGTTCATATTGTATTTCTGGGGAAAAATCGATTTACACAAAAATTGGAATAAAAAGCACTAGAATATTTTTAACAATCAATAGTTCAACACTAACTGGTACCTATGAGAGCTAACAGAAGTAAATGTGTGATCCTGTACGTAACTTGCATCAGAGATTCACCACATGGTTGACACACGTTGGAAGAAAATCACCCCAAGTTGGATACCACTAAGGTAGGGCTGCCCAAATGAGGCAGCCCAGGACCCAGCCCTCTCCTGCATCATAAGGGTGTGGTCATGCAGGCAGGTGAACAAGGGCTCCATTACCTGGCTCTTTCAGCCTGCATCACCCCCGCCCCCCTGTCCCTCCACTCTTGCTTCATGCTTCAGTCCCAAGTTCCTTCTCTCCTGTATACTCCTTCACGCTTTTTTTTTACACTGCTCCCTCTGCCTGGAAATGCTTTCTACCTTTATTCTCAGCGTAATTCCAACTGCTCCTTCGAGATTCGGTGCAGGTATCACTTCCTCTGGGATATATCCCCCAGTTCAACCCCCCTCAGCATAGGCTGGCTCCCTGTGTTTCCATAGCAACCTGTGCTGCCTTCTAGTGCAGCCCTTTCCATATATAGAACATCAAAATTACTGTTAGAGGTCTGTCCCCCCCCTCCCTCCCCCACCAGCCTGTGATTGCTAAAAGATGAATGAAAGACTCCCCGTGCTCGTTTGCATGAGCACAAGGGCGCATTCACGGGAACTTCCATGCCCCTATCCACTGCATTCTTGGCACACCAGCTTCTACACCCAAGTCAATGCCCAGGGCTCTTACAACAGGGCCCGGCTTCCAGGGGGTAGGTCGGGAGAACTTGAAAGAAGGGCATCTCAGCAGAGAATGGCGGTTGGGGGCTGCTGGTGGGGCAGATTCCAATACATCATTTCCCCTAGTCTCTGAGGCACCCCAGGGCCAGAGGAATTGGGGCCAGTCCAGTCCAGGAGTTTACACTTTTGATGCCAACCAAACCACCGCTGCATCAGCAAAATTGGGAATGGCAACCGCTCGCTGGAAGAGTAGCAAACACTCGTCTTTTACTTTCTTCCTGACATTGGATTTTCACGGTACTTTACAGACAAGGACGTGTGGGACCCGTGGAAACATTCTGGGACTCCAACTGAGGTTTTCCTGCCATGGGTGATGGAAAGACTCCTGGACCTAGAGGCGGCAGACCCGCTGGTCATCCTGTCTCTGCTACTTGCTAGCTGCGTGTCTTATATTCACACTTTTGATGATCTGTCTTTATCGGAAAAGTGGAAACAATACCTTACTAGTAAAGTTGTCATGGGAGTTTCCCTTTCCCTTGTGGAAAGAGCTCAGCCTGGAACTTAGTATACACTTGTCAGGAAATATGAGTTTCTTGTCCTTCACCAGCACCAAGTCCTGGATCAACTTCCTGGGCTTATTCTTCCCCCAAAGGCTAATTCTCTGAAAGCAGAAAGTGCAAAGGCTGGGTGTCACCTCCAACCACCCACCCCCAGTTTTAGATGCCCCCAGGAGACATTTCCCCACTTCTAGGGGGAGGCTTAGCTACCTACCACCCTTCCTTCCCATCCTAAGACCCCTTGGAAGATCACCTGAGCAGGCAGAAACTACAGAAGAAAGGCTGAGGTCTGATGCCAGGGCACCTCGTGCTGACAGTAGGAGTCAAAGACAGCAAGTTAGCAAATGCAACGCCATTAGCCTAGGACTTGAGTTCATTGGCTTAGGGGTGATTTCATTGTTAATTTCTGCAGTTTCCAAAGGACAATCTGCAAAACACTCACAAAGAAACACATTAATGCGCTTAAGGAGGTTCTGTGCCCAATAATTTGGGGAGATTCTGGATTGAATACTATTAAGTCTGGTTCCTTAAAATGGGACTTCTCAGAGCCATTTTTTCAAAATATTCTGTGAGGAATTACAAGAGATTTTACCAATGGTGACTTAGCTAGACCAAAAAGGGGATCCCCTTTCTGACTTTGGGGTTGGAGCTCTCAGTAAGCCTTTCAACAAGAAGGTTCTCATTCCTAGTTTTTCGTGTTTTTTTTTTTGTGGAGTAGGGAGTTTAGTAGCTGCAAACCAGTTGATTGGAGAAGCAGTGCTTTAAAGCTTTCTATATGAGGGTATGTATGAAAATTGTGTCTACTCATGATAGGACTGAAGGCCTGAATCATAATATGTCCCTTTCCACCACTTTCCGGAATTGTCCCTGTCTACTTAATGTGCTAGAGAGAGTCCCAGAGTCCAGTTCTCTGGCAAATTAGACAGAGGAAAAACCATTTCCATAGATAGCATTTAACCCATTTCCTGTTTGGGAACCAATTTTGACGCCCATGATGAATTTGTAGAGGTTGCTTACATTCCAGGTCTGGCTGGGATTCATGCTAGTCCTCACGGGACTCATGGTCAATGTTCATGTCTGAGCTACCATCCAAAGAAGACATCACCCAAGCTGAGAATTAATGCAATGGGAGAGGTGAAGGGAACTCAGGACCTGCAAAGATCAGGGGATGTTGGTTATGGACCCTACTCTAGGAAACCTCACCTAGTGCCCTAATGCCTACAGGACCTTGCCTTATCTCTACTTGGGAATGTTGCTTTAATGTCGCAGCACCAGATCATTTCAATTCACAATGGAATTCTATTTAGATTGTAGCCCTGGGAGGTAATTCGGTGGTGCGCCTGTCAAATGACAATTTATTTTTGGCCACTTGCCATATTGTGTTTCCCATGTGGAAGGATTCCCAGGAATCACTGCGGGGGCGGTTGGGGGGAAGGTTCTTGCTAAAATGCAGATTCTGATTCAGTAGGTCTCGTGGGTCCTGAGCTTCTACATATCCAACAAGTTCTCAGGGGATTCTGCTGGTTCACGGACCACACTTTGAGTAGCAAGGCTCTAAGAAGCTCCACCTCTAGTGCCTTGGAGCAGAGCAGGCTTACAATCCTGCCTCTTGTGTGGGCCTGGGCCTGGGGTGGGGGACACACACACACACACACACACACACACACACACACACACACAACCTTAATCCTCTTTTGGATCTCCACAGCACTTTACAGTGTAAAAGCCGTTTTGCATGCATGACTCAGCAAATCCTTACCATGAAACTTCAAAGGACACTGGGTGAGTATTTTTAGCCCCTTTTATAAAGATAAAGATAATCTTCTATAAAGATAAAGATAAAGAAACAAGTTGAGAGAGGCCCCCAAGGTCATAGGGCCATGGAGCTCAAATCCAGACTTCCCAGTGCGCTTCCCATCAGACAGAATGCCAGGTGGGAGGTCACCAGACAGCAGTGCTCATCTCAGGCCCACCACCAACTTGCAGGGTGACACGGTAAGTTATGTAAGATTTCTGGGCCCCCAAAGACATGGTACACAGAAAACGTTCGATGAGATCTCAGAAAGTACCAGAATTTTGTGGTTGTCTGTGGCTGGAGGAGCTTCGCAAACTTTAATGAGCACGTGAATTACCTGGAGACCTCGTTAAAGTGCAGTCTGATTCAGTAGGTGTTTAATGGGGCCCAAGGCTGCATTTCTGACAAGTTCCTAGGTGATACCAAGGCAGTAGATCCATGGACCATGCGCTTAACGCTGGCTGTGTTTTGGGGTCACCTGAGGAGCTTTAAAAATGATAGATCTGGGTGCCATTCCCCAGGGGCTGACTCCATTGGTCTCGGGTAGGGCCCAGGCTTCAGTATTTTTTGAAAGCTCCCTAGTGATTTTAATGTGCAGCCAGTCTTGAGAATCACTGTGCTGTAGGGTTGGGCTCCTAACTGGAAACAGTCTACACTGTCAGGTAATACAGCTTCCTAATAACACTTGAGCTCCCCTGCTAGATTTTCTGGTATGAGATGAGTCATATTTACAGTTGTTACCAGGATAGGAACTACTTTTCCGCCCTTATTTTCTTTCTTCTATGGTTCTAACTCCAGAGTCCTTTGGGAATCCCACTGGGAGATGAATCTAGAAAGTTACTCTCTTGGCTACAGAAGAGAGTGGAGTCTGGCCTGTTTGTGGTAGGAAAGAAATGCCCAGAGAGCCTCTCTTTACTAACCAAATTCAGCCCCATCTGGATCAGACAGAATCATTGCCACAAGGCTTTCTTACCTTCCTAGGACATTTGGAGGTTGCGTTTATCCCAATTATTAGCTTAGAAACATGGTTCCCCAAGTGTTCACCAAGGTGCCCTGGGGCACCTCACCACACTCACAGGAGTGCCATGGGATACTTTATTTATTTTTAAAATTAATTTTTATTGGAGTATAGTTGCTTTACAATGTTGTGTTAGTTTCTACTGTACAGCAAAATGAGTCAGCCATACATACGTCCCCTCCGTTTTGGACTTCCTTCCCATTCAGGTCACCACAGTGCATTAGGTAGAGTTCCCTGTGTTATGCGGTATGTTCTCACTAGTTATCTATTTTATACATAGTATCAATAGTGTACATGTGTCAATGCCACGGGATACTTTAAATTTTTGAGGGAAACAAGAACATGGGTTAGACCTGTGTATGCAAATTCCATTAAGTTGTATCAATCTGACTACTTAATAAACAGAACTGTCAGGCATATGTGTGTGTGTGTGTGTATATATATATATATATATATTGTTATTTTTTGTCTTAGAGGTTCTTTGTAGAAGTTCCTGAGACCCTAAGGCACAGTGAGCTGAGAAGTTTGGGAACCTCTGGTTGAGAAGATGGAGGTCATATTGCTTTGGGATTAGTCAATCCTTTTGACAGTGCATTTAGGTGTGGAAACAAAGCTCGTAGAATGGGGATGGGATGTGCTGGGAGATGGAGAGGATTAGACTGATCCATCCAATAAACAAGGGAAAGTCTGATACTTCCACAAGCATCCTGAGAAGGACAAGGCAAGGGGCCTAGAGATTGAGGGAGGCCAAGAAACATGAAAGGAGAGAGAAGACTGGGAGCTGGGACTGGAGGAGATGGCGTCTGAGAAGTTCCTGATGGCGGTGTCACTGATGGACGTCTACCAGGAAGGGTGAAGATTGTTTTCTGGACCGTTGTCTTCCCCCGTGTGTGCTGACCCCTTGCTACTTCAAGTGTGGTCTGCGGATCAGCAGTATCATTTGAGAGCTTATGAGAAATGAAGAATCTGGGGCCCCACTCCAACCCCAGAAAGAGACTCTACTTTTTAAAAAAATTTATTTATTTGATTTATTTTATTTTTGGCTGTGTTGGGTCTTCGTTGCTGTGCGTGGGCTTCCCCTAGTTGTGGCGAGTGGGGGCTACTCTTCGTTGCGGTGTGGCTTCTGTTGTTGCAGAGCACAGGCTCTAGGCGTGGGCTTCAGTAGTCGTGGCACGCGGGCTTCAGTAGTTGTGGCACGCAGGCTCAGTAGTTGTGGCTTGCAGGCTCTAGAGCGCAGGCTCAGTAGTTTTGGCGTACGGGCTTAGCTTCTCCGTGGCATGTGGCATCTTCCCGGACCGGGGCTCGAACCCGTGTTCCCTGCATTGGCAGGTAGATTCTTAACCACTGCACCACCAGAGAAGCCCCAGACTCTGCATTTTAACAAGATCCCCAGGTGGTTCTCATGCACACTGGGGTTTGAGAAGCACTGTGCTAGCTGAGAATTTCTCAGCTGAAATACCCAAAGGAGTTAATAAAAATACGAAGGCCTGTGTCCCACCCTCAGAAATTCCTATTTGATTGATCTAGGGAGTAGACTCACCATCAGGATATCTAAGGCTTGCTGGTATTTCTAAAGCCAAGTTTGCTAACTACAGGGCTAGTAACACCCAGTAGCAACTCTTTTTCCTTTTTTTTTTAGAGGAAACCAAAGTTCTGGGTCAGTTTGGGACCAACATAGGAGCCAATTGAAATATGTGAACCATGAGAGAGGTCAGAGGATATAAGAAATCGGTGACGACGAGAGGTATTCCTGAGGTGTTAGGGAACGGGGTAGGGGAAATTGGGTTTCCACCATATGTTGGGTAGGGGATTAAGTTAATTCCTATTTAAACATTGCAAAAAAGATGACCCCAATCGTCTGAAGAACTTGGAGACATTTAGGTGACTGATATCCAGTTATGGACAGAATTGGCTCACAAGGGTAATGAAATTCACAACAGATCTTTAGATGGTATCCAATCGGGTGATATCCACAGATCCACCTAGAAAAATGCTACATTCAGTCATCTGGGATCTGTCTCCATTAGCAAAGAATGCTCAAAGCAGTGGGACCAAAAGCACTCTCCTAAGACTAATTCTCTATTTGTTTTCAAAATGAGTCATTGTATCCCCTGGAATAGAGTGAGTGACGTCAGTGGTACCCTACCAGGACACACCAAGGCATGTATGTTCTCAAGCTCCATTCTCTCCCTCCCACTGTATCTCTAACAACCCATTGATTTTTAGGGCCTCCTGGGAGAAAATATCTGTTCTTGCTCTTTGGAGCAAGTTGCTTGGAGTGGTCTTAGGAATGAAATTACGAATAGTTAGAGAAACATAAGGAGGAGCATTGTGAAAAAAAAAACAGTGAAAAACAAACCCCCCAAAACCAACCCAGCCAGGCCAAGCCAATGAGTGCTCTTCCAGCCCCTCGTCCATGCAGGTCCACAATGAGTACTCTTCCAGCCCCTCGTCCATGCTAAGGAAGACGATTTAGACTTGATCTAGGGGATTGAGAAGGGCCAAAATCATTGGTGCCCATAGCCCAGAGGGGGTGTTCCAGAAACCAGGAGTGAGGACCACATACCTGGGCCAGGGATGCACCGTGTGTGCAGCTCTGAGTGGATGTCGGTGTGCTGGTGTGTCTTATGTACCACCAGGAACTGTTGCTCATCTGGAATGGATGGTGGATGGGAGTGGATGGGAGTGGGTAGATGTGAAATTATGACAGCAACAATTAGTCAACAGCTCGCTGGTGGGGCAAAGTAAAGATGACTGCAGATTCTTTGATATTCCTCTCCTTGAGAGGTGTGGTCTATGCGCCCTCTCCTTGACTCTGGGTGGGCGCTGTGATTGCTTGACCAATAGAAGGCAGTGGAACTGTGTCTGCTTCCAGCCGCTTCCAGGTCTTAGGGACTGGCAGCTTGTACTTCCTGTCTCTTGGAATATTTGTTCTTGCAAGCCAGCCATCATACTGTGAGAAATTCCAAGCAGCCCCACTAAGGGGTCCACGTGGAAAGAAATTGGGGCTCTACTGAAAGCCCCAGCTGAGCTCCTAGCTGATATCTAACACCAACATGAGAGCAGAACGAGTGACCTGCTGGAAAATCATCCTCCAGGCCCAGCCAAGCCACATGAAACAGAGTCGCTATCTCAGCTGAGCCCTGTCCATAATGCAGAATTGTGAACAAAATAGGCCACAAAGTTTTGCGGTGGTTGGTTATGGTGGTTCGTTAATAGATAATTAGAAGAGGTTTTGGTATCAGGAGAGGTGCTCCAGTAACTAAAATGTAAAACATGTGACCCTGACTTTGGGTTTGGGTGGCCGGTGGAAGCTGGAAGTCTTTGCTCATGAGGGCGTGAAGGGCAGTGAGGAAAATGCGACTGAAAGCCGGAGAAAAGAATGATGTGTGTTATGTTGTGGTGGGAAGTTTAGCAAAACTGTTGCCTAAGGTAATGTGGGAAATTGAACCTTAGAAGGATTGAAGGGCGTACCTGGCAGGTCCTTTAAGAAACTTGAAGGTCTTGTCCCACAGAAGCCTCACAGGCAATGCAAGGTAGATGGGCCATCTGGAAAGGAAACGTAGGTGTGTTTTTTTGTCTAGTTGAATTGATTATCAATTGCGAATGCAAAATGTTTTTTTAAACTTTTGTTATTGAATTTATTTTTCCGTTAGAGAAGAATTTAATTGATTTACAAGTATTAATCGAACATCAATCTATAGTTTGATTCCAAGTTACTTAAAAGGAAGATCATTGGAATTTTATATATACATGTACATATATGTACGTGTATATATATATAATATATACGATGGTTGAAAATTTTGTTCTCATAGACTTTATTTTTTATTAAAATTTTTTATTGAAGTATAGCTGGTTTACAATAATATATGTTATAGGTGTACAATACAGTGACTCATAATTTTTAAAGGTTATATTCCATTTTTAGTTATTATAAAATATTGGCTATATTCCCTATGCTGTATGTTATATCCTTGTAGCTTATTTTATACCTAATAGTTTGTAACTCTTAATCCACTACCTCTACATTGCTACAATGCAAAACGTTTTTAAAGGAATGATAAAAGCTTGGACTGAAAGGGACAGAGAAGTAAAAAAATAAAATGAGGACTTAATGTATATAATCTAATATATATAATAATAATGGCCCCAAGATGTCTACATCCTAATCCCCAGAACCTGTGACTATGTTACTTTACATGGCAAAGGGGACTTTACAGATGTGATTAAGGGTCGTGAGATGGGAAGATGATTCTGGGTGAACCAAATGTAATTACAGGGGTCCTTGTAAGTGAAAGAGGTAGCAGGAGAATCAGAGTCAGAGTGATGTGCTATTTAAAATATTCGAGCAGCTACTGCTGGCCTTGAACTTGGGAAAGAGCCATGGAACATGTGGGCTTGGCCAGAATTGGCCCACAGGTTGGACTTTTCCTGGTTTAGATGATGAAGTCCTGGACCGCAAGCTGATGTCTTCATTGGATGAGACTTCTGGGGCCCTTGGGAGGGCATAAGTGTATTTCGCATAAGGGAGGAGTTGAAATAATCATGGCCAAGAGGCAGACTGTGATAGTTTAACTATGAATGCAAGTTCCTTGACGTTTCTCCCATCGAGAGATGACATTTACATGCGCTCCTCTTGAATCGGTGCAGGTTCTTTGATGGATCAATAGAATATGTCAGAATTGAAGTATTGCCAGTTGCTGGACCCAGGTTTTAAGAGACTACCAACTTCTACTCTTCTTCCATTCTTCTGTAGGTTGGGATACTTGCTCTTGGAACCCAGCTACCATTCTGTAAAGAAGCCCAAGCAGCCCCAAGGAGAGGCCACGTGGAGAGGAATTGGGTCCCTTGGCCAATAGCCCTTGGCCAGTAGCCCTGGCTGAGTTCCTGATCCGTAGTAAGCACCAACGTGCCAGCCTTGGATGTGAATCCTCCATCCAGCTAAGCCCCCTGACATTGCCTGGAGCAGCAATGAGTTGTCCCCACTGAGCCCTGTCCACCTGGCAGAGTTTTGAACAAAATAAATGGTTGTTATTATTTTAAGCTACTCAGTTTGGGATGGTTAGTAATGTAACAGCAGATAACAAAGATATTTAGCTTTCTCTAACCTTTATTGTAGCCTCCTTCGATGGCACGAAACCACCTAAACCGTGATGAAGGAGGAAGGAGAAGCTGAGGTGCCTGCAGGTTCACTCCCACAACAAGGTGTCTGTGGAAAACAGCCTTGATGCAAGGAAAAGGGGAAAGAATAGGTAAGTCGGCAAGTGAGACTGGATTCAAGCAAGGCTTTTGCTCTCATTAAATTCTCTTAACAGCCCAGGGAGTCCAGGCAGCAGTGGCCTCTCCTATCTCTCCTTCCAGATGCTCATTTAGACCCGACTACCATCGCCCTCTGCCTCCTCTGGCCCCCTAATCTTTAAAATGTGAAGCACTTCCGGGACACCGCCCTTGATCAACCCCCCAAGGACCTACTTCTCCCTACAGCCAATTGGCTGTTCGATTATTGATTTCATTTTCCTTATTTTTTCCTTGTAAACATTCTTTAATATTTAGTTGATGATTAAATTTTAGCATGACTATGTTTCACGATGACACAAACAGATGGTTCATTCAGGAAAAATTTCCATAAACCGTTTGGAACCTAATACAACCATGACTATAATGAACTTTTATCGAGCACCTAACATGTGTTATACATGCTCTGTATGATCGCACCTAAATCTTATAAGGGCCCTAGCACTCAGATAAAAGAACAGGGGCTTTGAGGCTGAGTAAATTGCTCTAAGGCCACATGTCTATAAGTCAGAGAGGGGATGTAGCCCAGGTTTTTGTGACTCCAAACCCACGTTCTTAACAATTCTCCTACACTACTTCTTAATCAGTACGAATGTTTACTGTCTATCCTTCTAGACTTTTATTTTTCATCTATAGACTTCTTTTTAATTACAAATATAGAATCAAGCATGAAAAATTAATTTTTTTGGTCACTAACTGTATCTTGCATTCCCTTCCATGTCACAAGGTAGGCTTCTATAAGATCGTTTTTAATTGTTGCATGACGTTCCACGGAATATGTAAAAGTATGTAGAAAATTCTTTTCCTTTTTCATCCATTATAGGGGTTTTTAGTAAGGGGAGACCCATCTTTGTTGGAGAATTCCTTGTTAGTCTTTCCAAGGGGGATGCGAGCCCCTAAATCATACCAATATGCCAAAACATGGTCATTCAACTGTGTTCTAAGGAAGGTCTGTCCTGTGTACTGTATCGGCCTTTGTTTTGGTGAGCTCTGAACTGGATAAAGAATGAAAATTTGGCAGGAGCGGGAGTGGAGAGTTGAGAAAAATGGGTTTCAGTGAGAAAGGACCAGACTGGAGTCAGTGAAATTTTGATTGGAGGAAAGGAGTGGAGGATGGAAGGAGAGAAAAGGGGGAAGAGGGGGAGAGCGAGGTGGGGGAGGGAAAGGGGGGAGGGGAGGGAAGCGCAGGGAAGGGGAAGCCAGCCAGTGGGTGCAAAGAAGGGACACTGGATACTGGGGTGATTAAGCTGTTTCCTGGGGGTTACACTGTAAACCTTCTCCATGCCTTCTACAACTCTCCAGTACCTTCTACATTGCTAACACATATTTGGGTCCAAGTGGACCCCTTTTGGCATCAAAGTTGAGGAAAGAGGACATGAACATCCTACAATTTTTGAAATGATTTCACATTGCTGGACACGTGCATATACCCTATAAATTCAGCAGTGAGTGATTATTTCCTTGGAATATAGCCTTAGGAGAGGAGTTTTTACATTAAGGAGTAGGAGAAGGGAGAAGTTTTTAATATATGTGAAAATTGAAAAAAAATTTATTTGGTAACATGTAGAAGCTTCTTTGATTTATTGTCTTAATGTTTCACTATTTTAGCCTGTTGTGACATCAGGATGAAAGAAGACTTTGAGATTGATAGTAAGCTCCCCCAGCTGTGTGGGCTGGCATGTCACTTCCTTTCCAGATCAAAATGTCCTCTTGGTCACTTAGAGAGGATGGCCAGAGATGTAGGTAGAGTAGATGATAGTCCATAAGTGGAGAAAGGATGGAACAAGTGTGGTCCAGGTGATACTTCCTATGAGGAAAAGGCTGATGGCAGGTGCTTCTGCACACACCTGTTCATAGGTAAAGCGGGGTGAGCCGTCCTCCAACCCCCGCTTGCCAAGGTGTTGGGGTGACCTGATAGAATGGCGCTATTCCATTCTGTGGGTATTTTGTGGTGTGATAACTCTAGGTACCAAATCACGAACAGTGGCAGGAACCATGCCCGGTACCGAGCGGGCTAAGTCACAGAGTTTGTGGCTCTGATCAGTTGTCTTAGAAACAGACCTGGGGTGCACAGTCTGTTCCTAACTCTGGGACTGTGTGTGCATTTGATTGTGCCCAGGAGTGGCTGTAGCCTGGGGACCCGCAGGGCCACTAGGCACAGAGGTAGTGCCGGGAACAGGGCAGGGATATGCTGGTCCTTGCTGAATGATTCTGACGATACGCTTGTATTCTATATAAAGCAGTGCATTTTCCCCTGAAGTCTTTTTTTAATTCGTCAGACCCTTACAACAACAACAGAAGTAAAAGGGGCAGGAACTACTCCCCCGTTTAACACATGAAGTACAGGTGGGGTCCAAGCTTGCCTGGGGACAGGATGGGCCAAAGACATTTTTCTCCTAATTCCAAGCTTGGCTCTCTCCATGCGGCCAACCCTGGAGGAGGTGAGAGGGGCCCTGTGCTCTCTAGAGCCAGCTGCTAATAATCTATATTTTCTTCCCAGCTCCATTTCTAAGACAGGGCCTTATCAACTGTGGGCCGAGACCTGTAGTAAGTCATAGAAATCAACCGCAAAACAAAAAGGAACAGAACCTAAACTAGCAGAATCCATTCGGCACGATAAGGGTTGAACCATTCACGCATTCTTGGTAAAGGGCTCCTTTTACTTACTTTTCAGCAGAGGTTTCTGCTCCCATATCTTAACAAGGAGCTGAAAACAGACTGGACAGAAGCAGTTGGGTTTTATAAGACACAACAACATTTTCTTTCTTTTTTTTATACCAGTTTTTTTTAAAAATTGAAATATAGTTGATTTACAATGTTGTGTTGATTTCTGCTGTGCAGTAAAGTGATTCAGTTATACATATATACATTCTTTTTTAAAAAATATTCTTTTCCATTATGGTTTATCATAGGATACTGAAAATAGTTCTCTGTGCTCTACAGTAGGACCTTGTTGTTTATCCTTTCCATATATAATAGCTTGCATCTCCTAACCCCAACCTCCCACTCATCCTTCCCCCGACCCACTCCCCCTTGGCAACCACAAGTCTGTTCTCTATGTCTGTGAGTCTGTTTCATAGATAGGTTCATTGGTGTCATATTTTAGATTCCACATATAAGTGGTATCATATATTTGCCTTTCTCTTTTTGACTTACTTCACTTAGTATGATAATCTCTAGGTCCATCCACGTTGCTGAAAATGGCATTATTTCGTTCTTTTTTATGACTGAGTAATATTCCATTGTATATATGTACCACATCTTCCTTATCCATTCATCTGTCGCTGGACATTTAGGTTGTTTCCATGTAAGACACATCAATGTTTTAACATCACGTGGTGTGGAATTCAGCTGTCTAGGCAAGATTTAACATGCCAGCTCTTCCCTGTGAATTCAGGAATCACCCCAAATACCTGAATTTCAGTACTTTCAGAAAGGACTTGATATAAAGCTGTAACACAGAAGAGCCGAATCAGACTGCATGTTGGATCTGTTTCTTTTACTTTAACCTTTGCTTTCAGCTAATTTTGTTCACTAAAAGGATACTGTCTATACATAATGGCCTGCCTCGGGGAAGCCTGCTCCTCTGCCTGAATGTTAAACCAAAGTGCCTTTGTTCAGGGAAACATCCGACCTAGTACACCTGTGGATGGCTGTAAGAAAGAAGAAATTAACACATCCCCTCCCCGGGGCTGGCCATTCCAGGTGATATTTACAAAACTTATAGCCTTTTTACTTTACTTCCTCATCTCCTCCCCCTCTCTGTTCTATAAGAGAAACTGGCATCCAAACCCCGATGAGATGGTTATTTTGAGACTTTAGTCTGCCGTGTTCTCCCTCTCCTGGCTTCTCTGATTTATTGCCCGGTAGTGCAGCGAGCAGAGCGAGCTTGGCCTCGGTAACGAAGCCACGGTGACATTTTTATCACGGCAGCCCCATCACAAGGACACAGACTTTTGCAGCGCTTCTAAGAAGATCTTTGTTTTAGAACATTTATTGACTCATTGAATATTTCACCCCCCAATAGCTTGTCTTGAAGAACTTCTCTTCAGGGATCCCAATTATTGTATTAACTATGCACGCTTACATACTTTTATCAGTCTGTAATGAAAACTTTAACAATCTATTAGTAGTTATTATTTGAAAGGGGAACCTTTTTTTTTTTTCTCTGTTGGTCTCAAACACCGCAAACAGCTTTTGCACAGGCTGGTTAAAGGTATGGTGCTGCACTGTGAGAAGCATTTTGCTTTTAACAGTTAATGGCATCCTTTTGTGACTGCCTCCTCCGTGGCTCCCTCCCACACTGTTGTAGCCAAGCTTATAAAATACACTGTTTCTTGTTTTGCATTTGTGGAAACTAAAGGAAGGTCCGTCTCACAAGGCATCCATGTGGTTTGTTTCCTGCTGTTGCTGCCTGTGATGACTTTCCATGCAAACAAGCTATTTAAACTAAGCAAGATAATTATTTGGAACATGAATATAAATATAGATAATTACTATGTTTGTTAAAAAACAAGACAAAAGGCCCAAAATGGAGTCGATTATGCTAAGCCTGTGTCAACAAACTGAGGTTTCACTTAATCAGTGTTCCCAGATCTCCCAGAAATGGAATCTTAACCCAGTCAATCAGGGATCAACTGACCAACACTAGTTAGGTCATCTGCCTGGTGGACCTCTGTCATCCCCTAAAGGAAAGTAACTTTGTAACAACAAACCGGACTTTTTACTTCCTTGTTCCCCGGCCCTTCTGCCTATAAAAGTCTTATTTTGTACAGCTCCTCAGTGCTCCTTTCTGTCAGCTAGATTGGATGCTGCCCAATTCGGATGGATATTTTTGCTCAGATAAAGTCTTAAAATTGTTAATAAGGCCCAGTTTATCTTTTAACATGTTAAAGAGTTTATGACAAAGTATTTTTCCCCACAACTGTGTATGATTTGTGAATCTCATAACTTTCTA